TTCAAGGAGAGAGAAGCACAGCAGGAAAAAGGGGGAAAACAAGTATATACAGTAAGTGGATGTACAAAGTCCTTCATACACCCTTAAACTGTTCGAATGTTTTCAATGTAATCACAAACCTTTAGACATTCTATTTTTTATTGAGACAACAGTATTCGTGTGCAGAATGCAAGAACTTGAGTTGTGACTGGCCACTCCTCATCCAGAGTTCTAACCATGGAGATTTTGTTTTATTATGTAACACTGCTTTTAAATATCTCCAGATTTTTTTTTTTACCTTTCTGTTGTGTTCCAAGTCTTCATGATGAAATTTGTTTGTTAACTTTCTCTAACAAACCACTAGAGCCTTTACAGAAAGCTGGAGTTCATGCTGCAATTATAACAAAATTCTAATCCCATAATTGCATTTGCAAAACAATAAAGCTAAAAGCTGCAGGATTACTTTATAAAGCACTCAACCATAAGTCAATGCAAAAGAGCAAAGTTTTACCCTGCTTAAGAAGTAAAACGTAATGCTAAAACTCTGTTTCCTATTAAATGAAGTATCCTCCTCACAGTAAGAGCTCCTCTTTGTGCATTAGCTACCTTCCTGTATCTTCTGTAACTCTCATAAGAGGCATACAGGCTAGAAAGCGGAGAGCTTTCCGACAGGCAAATCCATCCTGCCTAGTTTTCACTCACACTAGCAGTTGATGCTAATGCTTTACATATCTATCAGACTGACAGGCACAGCACGTTGGTTTGTTTCACTCAACGGGAGAAATTAATCACACACATTTAGTACAACAACAGAACATTGGAGCTCTGCATTAACTGCACTCACGCTGATTTTGATGGCCATATTAAGACAATAGTTTCTGGCTTCTTATTGAGGCTATTTGTTAACAGAACTTGACTGTCAGATCAGGTTTATTTCATTCGCTTGTATGCCTCCATGGGTTTACAGTAAGATGTGAACATTAACCGTCAAGTTTATCAAGTTGTTTCTGTGTCAGCCTTAAAACACCTTTGTTTGGACATGTGTTGCAATTTCTCTTTTCCCATAAAAGCCTTACTGCAATAAAAAACATATCTCTGACAACTGCTGCTTGACGTATTCCTCCATGAAAGGACAGTGTTAAAGTACTCCCCACAAATGGCAGTTCCAGTGTAAAGTAAATCATAATACAAGCACATTATGGGCAGATTACATCTATTAGTTGCTGCTGAGCTGCATGCAAATGGCATGCCCATGGGAGAGCAGAAAATCACTTTAAACTTCAATAAGTTACAAGCGGCGGTAAGCCTAGCCATAATCTACGCAGAGCCCCAGGCAGCAGCAAGGCTGGATGCAATTAGAGAAGAAATAAATTTCTACATTGTAAACAAAGAGAAAACAAAAAAGAGAGAATGACTGATGAAATTAAAATGAACTTTGTGGATTCAGATAGCCTCTCTTCTGATTGCTTTGGTTTTCCTTAATTGAGATTGTTCAGTGCTGTAGCTTTCCATCAGCATATCATTTGTAGTGATAAGACGGTAATGTAAAGTAATGTGACTGTTTAACTAATGTAATGTGAGTTATTAAAATCTTAACCTTCAGGAAAATGCAGAAATTCTTCTTTTACACAACCATGTAGGTGATTTGTTCAAGAGTTTAATTACATTTCTACTAATCTCAGAAAAAAATCACACCAAACAAAGTACAATCATTTGAAATAAATTAATCAAACAAATGTTCAGTTTGTCATTAAGAAATATCTGTTGGTGTTTTATTAACTTTTTTAGAGGGATATAGTTGTATTTGATTTGTGTTTTACAGCTAAAACAAACGCTGTGGTCAAAAAAAGAAACTGTATAAAAAATAGAACAGGCTATCTTCTGATAGTTTGTTATTTCAACCCTTTGTTTAAGATAACTTAAAACACATCTCGTTTATACAGTTGTATACCAACAGAAAGTTAGCCTAGCCCACTTTAAGTTTTTTACAGTCCCTAACTATTACTTTTTGCTTGTACGTACACCTGTAATAATATTTATATCCTGTGTAGAACTTCTGGATAGATGCAAACCACATTTCGTTGGTTTTGACTCGTGACAGTGCAATGACAATAAAGTTGAATTCTATTCTATTCTATGATGTTTCAGGGGGTTCTTGCATGTACAGTTTGTTATGTCCTTGGTGAATTTGCTAAAAAATAAAAAAAATAAAAAATAAGAATAATTCACAGCTATCTATCGTAATAGAATAGAAAGCCACATGTTCCTCTCAAGCACCCTTTGATATAATTTAGAATCTGTTACGTATTCTATTTTGTTTTCTGGTCCTGCTGCAACGAAAAAATCCCAAACCAAACCATGAAACCTTTACTTCCATGCTTTACAGTTGGGCTGGAATAAGTTTCATAGAATGCTAAATCTGGTTAATGTCAATTATACTATCTTTACTGGTGTACAAATCATTCTAGTTCTGTTTGTTCAAAGGGTTTTACTGCTGAAAACTGTGTTTTTTCTACATTCTTTGTGTCCAATCTTAGTCTGACTTTTAGGATTTTTTTTGAGTGCAGGTTTTTGCTTTTGCAGCCTTTCCCTGATTGCAGAGCAAAGAACACTTTCATATCAATAACAGTAATAGACTTACTTTTCACACTCACTTCTTTCAGGGTGAACTTGCTTGGATGGCCAAATGTGGGCACGCTGACAACTGTTTTAAATGTTCTCTATATGTTATTTTGACTTCTTTTGGAATCTTATATAATTTATTTTATTTGTTAATTGATGCAATACCTTTTGTGGGGACATATGTGGTTGTCTCTCACTGATGATTTTGTAAATGTTCTTTTCTTTTTTATTTTAAAGACAAACTTTGATTTTCCATCTTTATGTTTTTAAGCTTTTAAATCGCTTGATTTTTTTCTTTATTGTGTATCATTTTTGTAAAGTGCGGTTCACTTGAAACGTTTTTTTTTTTGTTTTGTTTTTTACAGAGACCAAACATTGTTTAAACATTAGTGGTGGTAGAGTGATGGCCTATGACTTATTTGCTGTTTTGGGACCTGGGCAATATGGCATAATTGAAAAAGTCCAAACTTACCCTTTATGCTGAATCAAACTTTAGGCAACGAAAACAACAAGAAAGAAATGTACAAGTGAAAATAATTTTTTACAGATCTAAATATACTCAGCATAATTTCCTTACTCTATGTAAACAACCAAAAAAGTGCAAAACAGAGGGAGATATAAGAAAATATGAACACGTATCAGCAATGGCGTAACAACACAACAATAGCCCTGTAAGCAACATTATCTATATAATTTTGCCATTCACACTTCATCATTCTTCACCTTCACTTGACATGAATATACTTTAGTATATTAGCACAACAAGCCATGGGGCTACCTTGAGCTTCACAGCTCCCCTCCTTACCCACGCTCTCTCCATTCATCTCCTGGTCGCAATCTTCACTCACTTTAGCAGCAACGTCCAAATCTGCCTCTTCGGTTCTTTGAAAGAACGTGTTTATTTTGGGAAGTTTTTTTCTGTTCTTCCAGCAGCTCTTCTTTGCTGGAATCCGCTTAAGTACCTCTTTTTGGTATCCATCATCGCTAAAACATTGTATATAACGGTTATGGTTTTAATCTATGCTCTGGATTATCCATAATTCCAAGTTGTATTGTAAAGAATAAAATACTCAAATAAATCGCTCTTTTAAGATCTTTATTGCAGTGAAACATATTAAATGAGTGTATTTTTTACCAACCGTCTAATGAACTATACACAGTTATTAACTAGGGCTGGGTATTTTCGCCAAAGTCCTGAATCGATTTGATTTTGATTAATACAGTTCAAAATCGATTAATTTTGATTTGATCTGGTTTTACATTAATGAAAGAGGTTCAACTGTGTTCCAAAATACTCATGTATTTAATTTTTTCCTGTCACATTAAACACAAAGTGCAAACTTGTAGATCAGACAGTTTAAACCTGAGATGTGAACAAAACTGTCTCATAAGTGCAAACTTGTTTGTAAAAAGTGAAAAAGTGAAGCCTCTCATGAGCAAGACACAGCGGGGACACAGCAGACATGCATGAGCTGCATTATCTCGACTGCAGAAACCATATTTGCAGCGTTGTCTGTAACAACTACAGGGTGTTTGCTGGTCAGCTCCCATTTATTAATGTCTTCAGTCAACCTATTGACTATACTGTATTTGCAGCTGTCTGGCTTGAAGTCATCTTGAGTGCATCTTTCCATTTGAATGTGAACATCACGCGCGTCACTATAAAACTAATCGATCTCATTCCCTAGACATGGATTTTGCAAAAATGTAAAGGAATCGATTCAAATTATTTTTACCCAGCCCTATTATTAACATAGTAATTAAAAGTACCGCTGTCTGCTTTGCTATGGTGTCGTGTTTAAACAGCTCATCATGTTGAAATCTGGTATGTGTTGGGGTATAAATATGGTCCGATCAGATAATCCAGCATCAGGTGGGTAAAATAGGAATTTTTTCGCACCATTACGCCTGCAAAGAGATGTCTTAGTACACAAGTGATTAGTCAGTGATTGGGCCCCTAAGAGGCTGGGGGCCCTTAAGCAACTGCAGTCTCTGCTTACTGATATTTACGCCACTGTGCATCAGATAATAGATCTATCTTTATTTATATGCATCTGTACAGAAAAAGACTATCACCATACCATTATCATATAATGAAAATAATATTAATAATAGATTTAATTATTATGAGGAGTACATTAATTCCATTTTCAGTGTTTTTTGTTAAAGTTAAATGAAAAGAGAGAACTCTTCCGTTTTCCAAGTTTTTCTTTTCCAAATAGGGCTAACAATTACTGATGCCTTGAAAAACATCAGCTGTCTATGATTTGGGTCACATGCTCCTGCGGAATGTTTTTCCTCCTCCACCCTCCCAGCCGGCTTCATGCTATTGGTCAAAAAGTCGCTAGATCTCATCTGTGATTGGACAAAAATTCTATCCGTCACGGAATGCAGGAAGTGTTTCAGGAAGCAGTGGTGTGCTGGCATCCTGGAGAACTTTGGATCAAAGTACAATAAAACCAACAGTTCCGTCGCTCTGCGTGCTGCTCAGCTACCTGAGCGAGGTGAGGAGAAGCGAAACATCTAAATCACTGTTTTTCCCTGACGAACAGGATTATTGTAAGTATGCACGGCAATACAATATTCATATTAATGTGTTACTTTGTATTGTCTTTTTATATTCACACATGAATTCTCCTATTTTATATGAAAAAAATCAAAAATTTCCAAATTACAGAAATGTTTAAGTTCTATTGTAACATTTTCTTTGCATATGTGTAATTGCTTTATTGATTATGACAAAAGTTTATTGTTGCTATAAGATTTTTGCACCCTCTTCAGTATTATTAAGTATTACATTAATATCTAAACGAGCATGGATGAGCAAATTTAAATCCTTTTCTACAAGGGATGTTAACATTTAAATCATTTAACTTAAGCAATGCATCTTTTGAATGCATTTATAATCTCCAGACTCAGTTTCCCAGAAAAGGATATAATAAGGCTGCTTTGTTTACTTTAAATGCATTTGCTCCTGCAAATATTATTACTATGGCAATAAGGCTAATGGATCTGATGTTTTTGTACTACAGATTTTTATAATAAAGGCTCCTTGTCAGAAGGTCTTTGCCTGGTCACAAACCTGATAAGAGAGGAAACTTAGTGACTTAAATGGAAGCAGAAATGCAGATCTTCATCAACTCTATTCCTACCTCATGTTTTTGGTGCTTAATTATCAGGAAGGTCACTGTTCCATGCAAACGAAGCAAAGATTCAATATGGTAATGTGTCTTATTACAGAATCCATGATTACTTTTGCTTGAAAAATACCCATTACAGAAAATAAATCTGACATTCATCAGTTTTAGATGCATGACACTTTTTAGATGCATGACACCTTAATGAAGAACCATACTATATATATATATATATATATATATATATATATATATATATATATATATATATATATACACATTTAGTTTCCAAACAAATTTTACTGAATAGAACTTGTAAGCTGTGGCTTTGTTATCGATGACATTTTATCTCATGAGAGTTTATCCTTTTTCTATACTATTTTTTTTTGTCGTTTACAATTGGCCATATACAGACAGAAATGTGCACAAACACAAGTCAGACAAAAACACTGTGACACTTGGAGGAAGTTAAAATTATAACATGTTATTTGGTTACAAAATATATTAAATAAGAAACATGAAGGAATTTCCCCACTAAATTAATTTGTGGAGCCCAGCACTCCTTGTTTAAAGGTACTTTGTTACTTAACTTTATTAGGAAAAACCAAGGTCCTCTTTTGATATGTGAAACTACTTTTAATGTAGTTATATTAGGTACTCCATGCACTCATAAATATGACTCATTGGATTAACTCAATTTAATTGATGGCTGTTTTTCCATCCAATACATTTTTGCTACCTGAACCAAATCTACATTTATCTTTATGGTGTGATTTCATTGAATCTGTTCAACACCATTTTTTTCACATACGTTTTAAAGGAAATTAATACAAATACCAAATTAGGATTTGTTTGGTTGGTTCAACTTAATAAGATCTAATTCTGTTGACCTGTATTTGTCCCTGTGTTGAATTAAGTTATTTTCAACTAACTCATAACATTTAAATAACCCACTGACAACTCAATTGTATTTACTTTAAGAGCAGAAACAGTTTTTTTTGTTTTTTTTTAACATGCATGCCACATGGTTAAAATGTAAAAAATTAGATCTTTGTGGGCTTGAGCAACAACTAACTCCACTGTCTCTAAGATGTAGAATTACCTGCCTTGCTGGCTCGGCAAAAGTGGTCAGACTATTAAAGGAAGTAATCTTAGCAAGGAACAATTTTCATGGGCATGGCAAAGCAACCTAAAATTCATGAGTTCACTTGAAAGACCATCTTTGCAGGCTCACAAGGTGGCCTTATGGTGAAATAAAGAATTTTAAGTTACTTTGCATAATACCTAAAATTTTCATAAATATGGTGTTACATCAAATAAATATAACTAAATCATTCTGGAAGCAATCACTTTACGTATGTTGATTGGTAAGAAATTGTGTCACCACAAAGAGGGGCTTAAATAATTTTTTTCAGTGCGCTTGTATTATGCTGGATTGACATTTAGGTGTAATTTTTATTGGCATACATTCGGTGAGGTGTTAGACATGTTTAATTTTTCTCCCGACCTTAAGAGTCCTGATCGTGAGGTTGTCCCAAGAGGCTGGGCACCCCTAGTTTCCCCCTGTGTACTACAAGATGCAGGACTCACGATGGGCTGAAACTTGGCCTGATCCAAAAAATTGTCACACGACTGGAAATTCTACTCAAGAAGGGCAAAAAATCGTACAGTGTATGCCCGGCTTAAACAGTTGGATTTATCTTCACCAGCTCCTCTACTTTCTAGTTTAGTTTTTTCCAACCTGCATAGACTGTTTTCTGCATTAATATTATTGTTACTACTGTTTTTATCTGTCACTTTCGAAATACATTTAGATAATATCCTCCATCCTCTGACATGTACCAGTGCCACCTTTGTGATCGCAATGACTGTAGGTATTTTTGTCACTTTAGGACTCCTTAGGAGATCTGCTCTGTCGTACAAACCCTCTATAGATAAGGTGTGTGTGTGTAATGCGAGAATATTCGAGCTCATAATGAAATCAAAATCCCTCTATACTTTTCTCTCTGATGTAAGGGAATTTAGCCCATGCAACCTGGTTGAAGATGAATGTCCAGGGTGATCAGCCATTTTTGGAATGCTCTCACTTACCCATCTGGCACCTATAACCATGACATGTTCAAAGTCAGTCAAATCCTTCCATATTTGATTGCTTTTATTTTAATACCAACAAACTGAATATTTTTATTGAGTTTCTGTCATGTGATCAGCGTTGCTCTTTGGTTTTTCAGTTGAAAGTTATATTTGAAAAGATAGTCAGCAAGTGTAAATGCCTTATTTAGGTTTAACGGCTACAGAATATGAGGGAAAACATGACATTTCAATGTTACTGTCACCTAGAGTAATGAGAATATTATTTGAATAAGCCCAAATTTACCCTCCATGATCCCACCTCTCTCCTGAATGTGAGGATCTCGTTCAATATGATTTCCAATACTTTTAGCCATAAGACAACAATAAAACTCTTTTCAAAAGGCCAAATAAGGTTTTGGAAATTAGAATTTAACAAATGCATCTTAAGTACCACCTATAGGCAAATATTTCACCAAATAATTTCTTTATGATTGTAGAACTACACATGTTGATATTGCCGGAGAGTAGTTCCATATTTTGTGCGGCATGATTGTGATCTTGTGAACACTATTGTGATCGTAGTGTTAATAAATTTTTCTTTAAAAAGCTTTTGTTACGGTGAAAATGATTGAACAGGTTTCAAAATTGCGGACATTTCAGATAGAGTAGATAATACAACATGATAAATGACTGTTCTTTTGAATTGCTGGTATAATGTGTTGATCTTGCAACATAGGGCTATAACTCAGAAAGTCTACCGTTTCTACTTATGAAAATTTTCTTTTTTTCCGTTTCTTTTGTTGCACTTTTGCTTCTTATAAGTTGCTGACTGTGGTTTCTTACTGCCCTAAGAACAATAGCTGCACATGTATCCTTCTCTTGCTGCCTCGAACAGAGGTTGGAAATATGAACAATGTTTTTAGTGGGAGGTAAAATTCAGGTGGCAGCAGAAGCAGGGGTCTCCCTTGAGAAGGCATCAGTGGGGAGCAGCAGCCAGCCACGCTATGTGAACATGCTAATTTGGTCTCTCTCTCTTCTTATTCCCTGGCTGCATCTGCAGACTTTGCTGTTGCTCATGTTCTCCTTATGTTCAAATATTTCCTTTTTTTCCCCTTTATTCCCTCCTTGTACTCACCTGCATACATATTTTCCTTTGCAAGATTGCAATATTGTTTTTAGTTATTTGTTTTTTCTTCAGGGCCTGGTAGCTGTTGATTATTTGCTCAGGCTTGAGAAGCTGCTTTTTAAGTATAGAAAATGGATTTTAGGATTATTCTAATAGATTCTTCAGACCCCTCAATTCGCATCTGATTTTATTCTAATTATTAAGTGATGCATTGTTTGATTAGAAGTTTGAAGTGGTGGTTGGCGATATGGGAAAAATAGTGTATAACAGTTTTTTATTATAAAAGTGGTGCAGTGGGTACCGCTGCTGCCTTACAGCAAGAAGGTTCCAGGTTCAATTCCCGGCCCGGGGTCTTTCTAACTATCTAACTACGCTTCTCTGACTCAGTGTGATGAACTGAGCTGAACATATTTCATTAATGTCAATAAAACTTTTCAAATTGCAGCTTTTCTTTGTTAGGGCTGGATGATATTGTCTAAAAAAGAAATCTTTTTTTCAAATTCCATTTACGATTTTTAATTTGATTACCCCCCCCCCCCCCCCAACACAAAAAAAAAAAAAAAAAAAAAAAAAAAAAAAAGAACTCTGTTAGACTGTGACACATCACTACCACCCTGCACTATTGGCAGCTGTGCTTCTGTTAACAGCTAGCATCTTAGCTACCTTTTATGACTGTTTTAAAATATGCCTTTCTATACACAACCCTATTTCTTCTAATACAATCATATCCAAATAAACTCGCAACCCTCCCTCGCTGGTAACCTTGCGTGTTGCTAATGTTTACAAGCCGCTATTCATTGCTAAACAGCTAACTTTTTTCCTTTTATGAAAACAAACTTCTCACTTACCTGTAGTTGTGTGTTATATGTTTACTGTTTTGTGTGACGCTGTCACTTGCCAAACTGCATCATGAGAGCAATACTCTAGCTACAGAAACTCAGGGGAGCCAAAACGGCGCTGTTTTAAAAACAATCAGTTTAATTTTTTCTAAATCACCCGCTATTTTTAATTTTTTTTTTTTGTGCAGTTGTTTAAACCCTTGTTTTTCAACTGTCTTGAATGGAACCATATCTTTTTGCGAGATTAAAAATTAAATGCTTCTGTTATATCTTTCCACCTCTTGCTTGTCATCTGATATGGAATGCCTTTATCAAATACCTGTGTTAACATTGTCTGTCTGGGTCCAGTGACTGCCTCTTGCTGTGATGCTGCAGTCCCCCTGTTGTTTGGCTCTTAGCATAGGGTTTGGGGTACTTTCTCTTCAAGTGATAAAGCAGATTCTTTGTGTTGCCATCCAATATGCGAACCCTGCTGGAGCAAACTTTGCACATTACTTTCCCACCTTTGGCTTTCAGCCATGGCTCTCCATGCGGCTACCGCTACAGACAAACAAGGAGGCCTCACTACCAGTTATTTGCTATGCTTGGTCTGTAAGTTTGACTATGTAATACAGCTGTGTTGGTGGATCAGCATAGAACAGAAATTAATAGAGTGTGACTGAAACAATCACATGATTTCATTTTGGTATATAGTCTACACATTCTAAATTTTCACGAACCAACATCGCCATATGGAACACCCCTACTTAAGAGTTTTAAAAGCAGAGATTGTGCTCACATGTAAAAGATACAAAGCAACGGCAGTTGCAGAGCCTCTGCGCGGTGGGGCGTGGTCGCACACAGAGACAGATTTGACGGTTGCAGTGGCTATGCGTCGGAAGTATAAATTGGCCTTTAGACAGCAAGAGATGGTCCATCAGTCGCCATTGCTAAGCACCGAGATCTTAGAGAAAACTGGACTGAATGCACCGAGGTCTTTCAAATTATGGATAATGGATAAAAGTTCCTGCAGTGGAAAAAAAGGGTTACTGATGTTTATAATGTTGCAAAATGTGAGTACAAAGCATATTAATATTATTTTTAGGTTGCGTTGCATTTTAGCTGCGAAAAATAGGTAACTTTATTTTCAAAAATACATATGGTTTGACAGCAATACGCGAACCACAGGGAGGTGTTTATTTCGAACATAATGCATCGGCAGGATAGGGTTTGTCTTAGCTCTTTCTCTTTATAGATTTTACCTCTGAGCTGTCAGAGTAATCAAAGACAACTCATGGTGTGAAGGGAAACGGCGTTATACTAAATGAGACTGATAGGAAGCTCACACTGCGAACTGAGCACACATGGAAGATGGTGAGAATTAATTTAATTATGTGTGCCAGATGTATGTGAAAAGATAAACCATCTGGTTGATCAAAACTGACTTACTCTCTCTCCGTATACAATCGTGCAGTTACTTAAATCTTTCCTGCAAATATTACCAGTTATATCTTGCCTCAGGAGAAATGAGCTCAATTTGATTAAGCTGCTAGATGCTCAGGTGCAAATGTTGAGATGCAGCTGTGAAATGTTCTCAAATGTTTTCCTTTTTATTTCTTTCCAGACTGTGGAGGGAGAATGGGGAAGAAAGACGCTGGTGCCACCAAGTTACCAGTTGATCAATATAGAAAGCAGATTGGTAAGTTTTCTCATGATTTCACACAAAATTGATACGATGTTGCATTTGACATAATGGCATTAAAGCAATGAAAAACTATTAAAAGGGGTTTCTTTCAGAGAATTAAAATAAAATACAACCATATAAGTAATGTTTGAATGGTTGGTGATGTGGTGTTTAATTAAAGGAATTAAATCAAGATTATCAAATTCTTCTGATTTAGGAGGTTGATATTTTACTTGTTGTGTAACTCACTTTCTCTCATTGCTTCATGGCTGCAACCACAGTAAAGCTTATCTTATAAATCACTAATAATGAAATCCCTCTGGAAAAGATTTCAAAGTTACTCCAAAGCCTTTTCGTTTTTTGTTATTCCTGCAAAATGGCTTTGTTCCCAGAGTCCAAAGAATGTGTTGTGCTCTGTGTTGTATTATGGTTAATAAGTACTATGTTTATAGTATTTTATTAGTATCCAATAATGTATTTTGTCAGCCTTTGCAACAACTGTTATAGAACACTTGTGATAACTTGCAGTTTTTTACATCATTGTGGTTGCGTGATAAGGTGGTTTGGTCAAACCTTGTGAGCAGTTTAGTTTTAATTAAACTAGGTTGGACTTTTTTCCCCGAGTCTAAACCACCTCTGAAGGTTATGTCAGAGCATCCTTCTTGATTTAGGCAATTACTCTTACTTGGCCTCTATAAAGCTCTCATTATTATTTCTCTTTTTCCGTAGTAGTGACGGTCATAATTATTCAACTGTGAGAAATAAGCAAAAATAAGAAATTTTTTAGTGGATAAATTCTTTCACAACATCATTATTCTAATTCACGGAAGATGTAAGGCAACCGCACAACCTTTGAGACAATTCTGTTCAATTTTATTATTACGATGAATAAATCAGTGTGTCTTTAATATTGTGTATGTTGCTCTTTTGTTTACGTTTAATGCTACAATATTTCAATAGGACTTGGGTTGACCATATTCTCTTTATAGGATTGTGATGATGTAGGGCTGGTATATACAACAATCTTTCAGCAAGAAGTGGGGTTTTCCCTTCAACAGTTCCCCCGTTACTACAACTGTCCATAAGGCTCACAGAATTAATCCCAGCTCTTTGCCATAAAACTGTGTTTAAAATTTTTTTTTTATCTCCTTACATGCAGACAATAAATACCTTCACATGCCCTTCAATTTAATGTAAAGTTATCCAGTGTTGGTTTTCATCAGCAACTGTCATCACAAGGCAACAATCAGTCAATGTGTTTAACAATTTGAAAGACTACGCTCGAGCTGCAACAATGCATTATCCTTTGTTTACCTGTGATGGTGAAAAAAAAAAAAAACATGATACCTAATCTTATGGAGTAGAAATAATTGTTAAGTATTTTAAATAGAGACATCGGTTTCAGAGCATATTTTGTCATAGGAAATAATTGAAACACCCCATCAGTTATTGATGGATAAAGGAAATGTTTATGTATGACCATTTGCATGATTTCTTAATTTAGCTAAGGAAAACAAAGCGATATCTTAAAAAAAGAAAAAGACAAACATGGTAGACACCACCTTAAGTGTTTGATCTTACTCTGGAAAAACATATGAACCTCACCCCCTAAACGGGTATGGTTACTGTTTTATTGAAATAAGGTCAGTAAAACGTATTATTTGTTGTTAAACCATTTTTATGGGGTGGGGGAAATTATCCTGGCAAAACAGTATTTTTTAAATTGAAAGCTATTATATTTTGATAAAATAATAAAAGAGAAACATAAATTCTCTATTCATTAGAAAAAAACTAATAGTTTTGTGTATCGAAGTTGCCTGGAAATATAAAACGACATATTCTCTGATTAACATTGGTGTCAGAAATCGAAGCTATGAACTTGTCCTGTTGTTACAGAATGATCCAGATGCATCATTAAGTGTAAAAATGAGGAGATGAGAAAGTATCATGAAATTACCACTGGTTTGATGGAGCGCAGCAGAGTAGAGCTTTTTAAATCAAAATTAAAGATAGGGAAAAATAATGTTTATGCAGAATGAAGTGGGAATGCTCTCAAGAGCTTTTAAGGTGCTTTAAAAAAAAGCATTCCAAAGAAAGTTAAAAAAAAAACAATCCACTGGACTTTGTTAGCAAATTTGAAGTAAAAAAAAAAAAGAAAAAGCCTTTAATTTAGCCCTAGAAGGACTGTATTGTTTTCTCACCTCAAGCACAAACACTGATTAGCTATCGCTTTATCTCCTCCGCTCTGGGCCTGTTTGCTCAGCAGGCTCATCTGACCCTCAGCTCTCCTCTTTCTATCTCTCAAAGTTAGCCTGTAGAGGCTAGCCTCGGCTGCTGCAGCCTCTTTAAGCTCTGTCTCCCTAGAAGACATCTCCAATGTATCGCTGTCCTGCAATGACTTGATGACTGTGAATTTTCATAGGCACATGAAAAATATCACTTCATGTGAGCAAACATACAAATCCAGGTCATCCAGATGTTGACTAATTTGTTCAGTTTAGTTTTAATATCTTTTCTTAATACAATATTGCTGTCATGGTCTTGCTGTTCTCCCCATTACTGTTTTTTCCAGCAGGCCAGCTATGTCTCCCATATGCTGGTGACCTTACGCAAGCATTCAGCTATTAAAATTTATTATGATGGTGTTGTTGTTGTTGTTGTTGTTAAAGCGGTTTAAATAAAAAGTATCAAAATTGTATTAATTTTTCAAAAATGTACACCAGTGTACACTTCGAAATATGTAGATGAGGCATAAGAGGTAATATTTATCAAAGAATTTGGAGTGTGGTTTTCAAATTTGCTTTTCTGATACATTAACAAGACCACAGAGTAGAAAACCTGAACCTCATTTTACTGTTTTGTGAATTGCAAAAATTTAACAGATTCAATAATTATGTATATCACTCACATGCAATGTACAGATGTACCTTTAAAATATAAATCTTCACAAGAGCCCTGCCTCTTCAAGATGTTTACAAATAAGATTTTGCTGCACCATTTATTGTTTTGTTTTGAACATTTCCTCTCGGGGGATAATTGTTTTTCGCCTCCCGCTGATCCCGTCCTCGGACTATTCTGTTATTCCTGGTCTTTCTTTTTTTGTTAAAAGGAGTCGGTGGGATCATTGTCTGCCTTAAGCAACAGAAATATTCAGGTGGCTTGTTTTGCTATTGGTTTATTTTTACTATTTTACTGTTAATCCACGATTTTCTTTCATATCATTAAAAAAAGGCTTCATCAGTTAGACTGATATCTTTTTTTTTTTTATCTTAAGAAAGCCCGTTGAGAAAGTTCATCCTTTTATCTACTAGACTCTGATGTGTTTTCATGTATTGATGGAAGAATAAAGTCTCCTGATATTCTTTAACCGTCTGTTATTATGTTAAACCTTGTTGGTTTAGAAAACATAACCACCTCAGATCCCACTGTTACTTTCAAGAAAAATTACAGGAAAGTATTTTTTCCTGTCTTCTCTTTCATCGTGTTTTTTGTTTATTTGTATTTTTATAGCACATTGTTTTTTTTCCCCTCCCTATTCTTCAGGAATAAATGTCGTACCATTGTTTACTAACAATTCTTCATAACAAAAGTCTGTAGCTAATGTAGAAAATTGCAATTTTCTCCGACGGTATGAATTTATGTAAAGGATGAAACGACCAGCGCATAGTGGTTTGTAATTTAAGTTGTGGCTTATTCATTCAGAAGTAATCCAGGGTGATTGTTGAGCTGTACCATCATCTCTGCTGGAGTGCTTTTGTCATTCCTGATGGCCGTCGAAAGGCTGCTGTTGACACTTTCCTCTTAAATACCATTATTAACCCTGTTATAATTGACTGGCCTTGGGGTGGGATGAGTTCTTACGTTGAACTGCAAGTGCTTATTCTGTCCATGTAGTAATTGCTGCTGTGTGTTGAAAACTGCTGGAACATTTCCACATAGGCCCACAGAGAGAAGTTGGTCAATGTGATACTGTCTCTTGGTGTTTTCTAAGTGGTATATTTCTATGGTGCAATAGTTTTCTCAGGATGTTTGTTGGGTTGTACGTATGAGCTGTTAAAAGGTAGTAAATCAAATCAGCAAAAAAGTTGATCTGGAAAAAAAAGAAAAACTTTTGTTTTTGTAGGTAAAAAAAAGTAATCTTATGTGTGGCTCTATAAAGTACTTCATCCTGAAAGTTGCTGCTGATCTAAGCAAAGGGGGAGAGTCTGAGATGTAATCAGTAGCTTTCCTAAACTATTAATCCATATAAATCTAATCTTTGAAATTTGTTAATGTTCATCTTTTCTGATTGTGTTGTTTTCCATTTATCGTAGTTATGTTCAACCTATCCACTTAACCCTACATGTGTATATTTTTTTCTTTTAGATGTGCATCACCAGATTTATGGGCAAATGTAAACTGCTCTGAAACGCCTCACCTAATTTTCCTTTGCGATAGCCCATTAGACAAATGTCCAGTGTTCTGTTCTGTATAATTTGATGAGCCTTCAAACAGCCAGAGAGAAGCAACATGTCCTTTAGGGCCGAGCAAAGTAGTTCAACAGTATTATTTTCATTTTCTTATCATTCACACAAACTGTGATTTTCTTAGATGTCTACTCTTGTTCATGTTTCAGTTAAATGACAAATTTATATGATATGCTAGTCACACATCCCTTCCTACTCCTTCCCCCGAGTGCTCAATCAAATGTGATTAATTTTAGCTAATACCCCCTACCTGTCTCATTATGCTAAGCAGAGGAATGGATCAAGATAAAAACTAATTTCACCACACTCTCATCAGACACCATTTAAATGCAACGTCAAGCCGGCAGGGGGAAAAAAAAAACACAAAACACTTAGTGGATTGGTGGGCCAAGCCACTTTTATGCTCCTGCTCTTCCTTTGACATTTAATTAGAGACCACTTTAGTGGCAGGTAAATGGTAAACGGCAGGTACGGTCATGCTCCATTTCAGCCAGGTGCTTGCTCTGAAGCAACTTTTAAACCTCCCACAAATGGGTTTGATCTGAAACTTAAGACCGCATTCAGACCTTCCATTTGTCATTGACATGTGTCCTGGCTCAGATACAATGGAGGAGGACATTACCATATTTCTGATCAAGACATAAACGGTGCTAAATTTAACTACAGCCAAATTAAAACCCCAGGCAATCCTAATGACCAGTCCAATGTAGGTGACTGACGAGGTCTTGACATGTCCAATCAGACTTCCTCATGCACTGTTATTGTGGAAGTTCACCAATCACTCAATGGTGTAGCACCATGAAGCTTGTTTTTTATTTCCATTGCACCTCTCTTCAACACATTGTCACGTTGCTTCCTGCTCGCTGTAAAGGAGAAGTTGAACCAGTCACCAAAGAGGTGCTGCCTCTGAATAACCCTTAACTTTTCTGACTTCGAGGATATTATAAACTCAAACCCTTTTAGCTTCTGGGTGTCTTTTCCTCCTCCTTCCTCTCATCTATAAAAGTAATGCCAGGGCTTGCTTCTGACAGCTTGACAGATACATTCTGCATTCATGTCTGCAGCTCAAAAACTCTACTTTTTGGCTAACTTTTTGGTCGCCTAGCAACTATTGCCAATTTTGGGTAATATTTGCATGGGTTCACCTTCTCCACTTCTCTACTCTACATTGCCAAAAAAAAATCTGCTGCACTGAGACCCAACCTAATGTAGGTGTGGTACATATTCAACATTTAAAGCCTTTAAACATTTAACGTTTTGCACCTGCTGGTTCAGTTGTCTTGCATAGGAGAATAACACCCCGCGCCTATTTGAATTTATAAGCAAACAGGATTGTCCAGAGAATTCCTGGGTTGGGAGGTTGTGGACCTACAGTATTATGCTTTTTGGCATATGATATTATAGATAATATAAACAAAACAAGATCTGGCTTTTGCAGCACTAATAAAGGAGTTTAAACCCATTAACTGGAATTTGTTCCACTGAAGGTCTGACAGAATTAAGGTTGATGTATTTATTGTTGCTCTGACCACAAGCATATATCTTAAACAGTCTTATATCTTATCTTCTACATTCTCCAAGACTCCCTCTTCTTAACTTAATCAATTAATGCTTTACTTGTTTGGGGTTCAACTGCATTACTTCACTGTAACCGTTGAAACATTAGTTTAATCATAGTGTCTGCTACCCCCTCCCTACAAAAAGCCAAGCCACTTCAAGCCAATGCTACTCATGGGATGGATGGGGGAAAAAAAGTCCATATAGAAGGTTAGTTGAAAATGAGGCGAGTTGTTGCTAAACTTGCAGGAAAAACATTTGCAGGTTTCAGTTATTGATCAAGCAAGATATTTGGACACCCAAGAGGTTTTTGTTTTTACTGCCTGGGGCTAATGAGATGGTAAAATGAAGCAGAAAACAGTTTCTTACCAGATAGGCTTTGTGCTTACAAACATTTGCTGTAGTCTCCTCATCTGGTTGAGTTTGTACTACCTCTTAGTACTATGAGTAAATAGCCTTGACATGAGCTGTGTTGTCTGTTCACCTTTACTATTTCTAATTGTAGGAGGGAAATTGTTTTTAAGCTTTGAGGAGAATCTGTCCTCACTTGTTAAATCTCACGAGGTCGCCAAGAGATAATTTTTGCAGCCTGGGTTTGAGTAACATTCTTTTTCTCTATCGAGTGTAAGGTGCCACGCATCCATTAAATTTATTCTTGTAAGAAAGGTGCTTTTTCAATCTAGAGGTATTTTTTTTATCAATAAAACTGTGTTTCATTTTCCATCAGATAATGCAGATTCATGACACATGATCATCATCACATCAGAGTTTTTGTTTTTTGAAAGGCATTTGGACTTTGAAAAATGACAGAAATACTTATGCTTATACTTTGAATAATATGATTTATTGCACTGAAATGTTATATTAGCCTTTTAAACAAACTATAACAACAAATGTAGATTAGCACATTTGACTTACTTTCTACAGTGCCTTGGTCTCTTCTTACACATACATATGTTGCTACTTCCTGACGTGATTTTATATCTAGTCATTTGCAGGTCGTGACTTTTTGTACTATCTGTGTGAATAGTGAGCAGGGTTCAGTTCTCCTCAACCAAATTTTTTCTTTTCCACTTTCTGACAAGTGAAGGAGACATCCAGTGTCCTAATGAATTCCCTCTAGCTCACTGTCTGCTTCTGACAACATGCTCCCCATATCTATTAGTCCCTCAGAGAGTCATTGGAAGGTGAAGGGAGGGGTTTTGCACCTGAAGGAATGGAGAGAAAAAGGAAGACTGAATGAATTTCAAATCTCAGAAAAAGAAACAAGGAGAGTGATGCGTGTGTCTAAATAAATAGATTTTTTTACTTGCAACTGTCACTTTTGTTCTACATGTTGCAAGGTGTTTATGTTAATATTTATCTATTGACCTTTCTTACACATGCTAATTGCTGTAAAAATGTATGTTTCCTCATTGGTGTTTCCTCATTTGCTCATCAGTTTCCCCCTGTGTTCTCCTGTTTTAGGTAAGCAGGACTACAAAAAGACAAAATCTGTCTTAAAGGCAACACGGCTGAAAGCTGAAGCAAAGAAAAACTCCTCTGGATTTAGGGTAAGATTACCTCAGCGTACATAACTGTCGCTTCCAGTGATTAGGGTATATTACACTACAAACCATTTTTTCCATATTTGTCTACAGTAACTACCAGATAGAGAGTATTCCTCTCTGGGTCAATTTTAAAATGCCAGATACTTAATTTTTTTCTTTAAAGTAGTAATGTATATTTCTAAATATATTTCTCCACCAATGGAACTGACAATGGCGTGAATATAATGCAAAGCGACAGTATTTTTAGTTTTTCTGGTATGTAAAGATTATTGTTTATACTTGCTTTGATAAATCAAAATTCTTAGTAGTTTAATAAAAATTCATTACAGCAATAAACAGTATGATTATTTCAGACTCCCATAAAGTCAAAACTATTATCCAAGATATAGGAAACGATGAAACCATGGGAAACCTTCCCTGTGAGAAGTTGGGGTGAGAGCGCAAAAGATGCAGTAGTATGTTGCCAGTTATGAACCCCAGCTTTATTTGTTTTGGACATTGTGTCCCTGGCAGGACAGTTCGCCCCCACTGCCTAGTTATAATTGGTCAGGGTCACTCCTGTGCTTCTGCTCCGGGGCAGCTTGTGGCCAGAATGTGGCTTGAAACTGTCGATGTGTGAATGGATGAATGGCTGAAGAGAGTGGAAAGCACTTTGTGGAGTTTCCTAACCTGTAAAGTCCCTGAAATAATACAAGGCATTCACAATTTATCACAGATTATTAACTAAAGAGACCCCTAAAATATTTCTACAACTCACCCAGGTCATGGATTAAATGAATGAATGGGGTTTATTTAGAGATGAAGTGAGACTTTTATTTATTGACTAAGATAGACCACAATGGAAAGCAGAGCATTTTTATGCATATTTACATAAACAAATGAGTCTAACTAAAAATGATTTGTTCCTTCATCTCATATATTTACTAGAGCTATCCTGTCTTAGCCCATATATACAGATACATGTATTATATTATTATTATTACATAAAATATAAAATAATAATACACCCCCAATTCTCAAAGGTTTCAAATTATTTACATAGATGCCTGAAAACTACTTAATATTTTGTTTTATATAAATTTTAAAACATTTTGAGCACTATGAAAAATATTTATGGGATAAGCGTGATCGGTGAAAATTGAAAAGTAATGATAATAGAAACCTTTACCCATTTTTTTAATTTTCACTATACTCAATTAAACCAGTCATTAATGGTAATTATACCATATTCATTTATTTGAACAATATCTTTAACTGCTTGATGGTACTGCATGTTCTTACCTTCTGATCTAGACTTTTCCAAAGTATTACCCCAGAAACTGAAGCACAAAAGCCTTTTCTGGTGGTGCTTATCTTGTAACTTATAAATCCACCCTTTTTATTTGGTGTTACAAGGCCCTTCTATCTCTTAACAAGCTTTAAAATTAACCCAGAACAAATAAAGCACAGAAAACTCAATAACTCCAGATTAGGAAGAAAAGAAAACGGCATTTAAAAAATGCCTGAAACATTTTAGAAACATCCTGCGGACTGACATATGCATCCTGTAATGTCTGGCATTACACCTGGCATCTGACCAAGTATTACAGTGCAACAGTTAATTTCACTTTTACTGGTTTAGGAACAGTTTTAGAAGTCTTGTAACAATGAATTGTAGCCTCTAGTATAAACCCCAAAATGATTATGACTGTGGCTCGGGTGATACAGAGAAGAATGATCCAAAACGCACCGACAATTCCACTTTTAAAGAGGATGGCTGGAGAGGTCAAGTCCAGACCTAAAAATTATCTAAAATGTTTTAATCATTTATACTTGTTGTCAATAAGTTTTATTTTGTCAGAGATACTGCAATATTTTTTTATTTATATAATATTTTTTTTTACATATTTGTTCTTTTCAGGTCATTTAGAAAGTTTTTCTGTTAACACTTATTACGACCCAGCACCCTCTCTCCTGATTAAAAATCAGTGGGCCGCAAAGAGCTTAAAGAAAGAGCAAATAACACCCAGCATTAAACATTGGGTGAAATGGTCAGGTTTTAAAATATGCATCTCCTACACATGCGGGGCCTCATTAAACATGTCTTTAATCCAATTAGATCAGTCCATATCTTAAAATATTGATATGGGTCATGAATAATTTATGCTTTCCATGCCCAAGACGAGGAATTTCAGAGGGTGGATTAAAAATACCTCTGGGATCAGGATATTAAACTGACTTGGACCTCTTGGCCGAGAGTTTGATTAATATTTTGTCCAAATGTAATGGATATTTGGTCATGCTTGCTTTCCCATCAAGTGCTTTTTAGCATGACGTTCAGTTGAAAGTCTTTCTTTTTTTTCTGGTTTTACCCAGTTTACGGTGACATCAGAAAGCTCCCACTGGCCATTTCTATTGGTGTTGTCAGGTCAGGTTTGAGCATGTTGAAAGTGCATAACAATAAATTATAATATTGTTGAAATATACATTTTTTTAATGTGAATTATTCTTAAAAAAAATAAAACTCATTCATATATTGTACACAGAAGAATGTGTGATTGTTAATATTGGCTTACAGCTAAAAAAAATCCAGTTTTTGAGGAAGTTTGATTACATGAGACGTGCATATATAAGGTCTAATATGAATAAAACAGAAATGTGGGTTTGCTGAAAGGTATCTTCATACCCTGTAAAGTTATATAATCCACATTCAAGAAGGGCTTATTTTGCTTGAATTGCTGCGTCTGTGAGGCATGCCGTAGACACAATCATCCTTTAATGACTTTTTTAATAGCAACAAGGCTTTCTAAATTATCACTGAAAGTGGAAATTTCACACTAAAGCTCAGATAACTGGGCTTCTGCTCCTCTCTACTAGTCCTCCAGTCTGTGAGACATGACATCCAAATTAGGTCTAAAAGTTACTTTCATCTCAAATCAACATTTCGTACCAATAAGCTATATTCCAGGTCTTTCACTCCTTATCCCAGGTAATTCGCTTTTGATGTTGTCTCTGGTTCAACAGTGGCTTAACACAAGGCATGCAACACTTGCTCATCATTGCTTCCCAGAATGAAAGAGTTGGTTGATGACAGAATGTTGATAATACTACTCAGACTGTCAAAAATAACTCTCATCATTTCAAGGATATAGTGGACTACTCCAGAGGGAAAAGCCAGCAGCAGGTTCATGCAACCACACTGTCTGACTCAATAATTTTGGACACAGTGTCTCCCAGCTGCTCTTCAGATGTTGAATCTCCTCCACCAGTAGGAGGTCTTACTGCACAGAATTTAACACAATGCTATCATCTATACAAGAATCTTTTTAGAAATTATTTTAGTTTATGCATGTTTTCTTCCCCATGTTTTCATGTAATAAGGCTTCAGTGACAAATTTTACTTCTGGGATTGATAAGTTGAGTTTTCAATTTATCTATTTACAAATTCATCACTTTCACATCTGACCTCACCCAGGTCTATAAATTCCTAAACATGAATGATTCATTTATTAATTGATTGATGGTGTCTATTGTCCTGGGTCCATCTTTTTTAGATGACTCTTAAAGGGGAACACAATTTTTATTTTNCAGATGTTGAATCTCCTCCACCAGTAGGAGGTCTTACTGCACAGAATTTAACACAATGCTATCATCTATATAAGAATCTTTTTAGAAATTATTTTAGTTTATGCATGTTTTCTTCCCCATGTTTTCATGTAATAAGGCTTCAGTGACAAATTTTACTTCTGGGATTGATAAGTTGAGTTTTCAATTTATCTATTTACAATTTCATCACTTTCACATCTGACCTCACCCAGGTCTATAAATTCCTAAACATGAATGATTCATTTATTAATTGATTGATGGTGTCTATTGTCCTGGGTCCACCTTTTTTAGATGACTCTTAAAGGGGAACACAATTTTTATTTTTATTTTTTACATTGGGCCCTTGATTTTACGTTATTACATCATGTTCTACTCGCCCATATGAGATTTGCGTCATTTGGAGCTGTTCTGAAGATATTCCCTTAGGTTATATCCAACATCTTCATATGGGCAACGACTTGAAGGCACAAACTAAACTGTTCATATTTTATTCTTTATAGTACGCCAGCATTCATAACATGTAGATGAATCACTGTCCCCCAGACATCCGGGGTTATATTTTTTTTATATTTATATTTTTTAAAAACAAAGCGGAGTGTGTATGACGTCATCCGCGTCATCTGAATCATTCAATGCCATTTCGAGAGCGAGATCATCTGTGGTAGTAGCACTAGAAATCTTCCGGGCATGTGATGTGAGTAAAATTAGCAGCAGTTCAGCGAACAGGATGAATGAAGGATAGCCGGCGCGCGGATGACGTCATACACACGCCGCTTTGTTTAAAAAATATATAAATATAAAAAATATAACCACGGATGTCTGGCTGACAGTGATTCGCCTACATGTTATGAATGCTCATGTACCATAGATGATAAATTATGAACAGTTTAGTTTGTGGCTTCAAGTCGTTGCCCATAGGAAGACGTTACTTGGATATAACCTAATGGAATATCTTCAGAACAGCTGCAAATAACACAAAACTCATATGGGTGAGTAGAACATGATGTAATAACGTAAAATCAAGGGGCCAATGTAAAAGAAGAAAAAAAAAAAAACGGTGTTCCACTTTAAGGCATTGATTCCAATCAGACAAAATACCTTTTGAATCTCCCCTAAACTCTTAAATGAGTTTTTTTTCACAGTCCATGCTTCCTGTGCACCTTCTTTTCTACCACATTTTTCCTTCTACTAAAATGTTTAACATGATTGGATATAGCACTCTAATTTGCAAGATTCTTTAACAGTTACCTTATGGAGAGGGTGTCAATGACTCTCTGCCAGACAAATGTCAAGTAAGAAGATTAGATCATTCTGCGTGCTTTTTCTTTTTAACCTTATGTATAAAATCAGTGAAAATAAATTAACCTTTTGGCATTTGATTTATTGAGATCCACCTGCATAAGCTCTTCTCTTCCTCT